TCCTCTCAATTCTCCTTCTTTCATGTTTTCTACATCCCCCATGATTTCGGTCTGCTGATTTCATTTGTTAGGTCCGCCTTCTGTTTCCCGCCTCATTTCACAAAGGATTTGAAGCCTCTCTCAACAACACATTCAAAATAATATGACAATACAGTAAATGTTTGAGTAATTTGGAGCCAGAGGAATATATGATAAACTGAGGTGGATGGAACGCCAGGATTTCTTAGTGACCCCTTTTTAGAATACCGCATCTGGAACCATTCTAGCGGGACATATTTTCTTTTTTTATATTATATAAGCAGTTTATTTAATGCATATTTATTAAGCACCTATTTTATATAAAGAAAAAATATCCCTCATTTTGACTTCTAAATTCTTTTGTCACGTTTTGGAGACTTCACTGTGGTGTCCTTTCAGAATCAGACCCTGGTTAATGTTTTGGGTTCTAGATAACACTGTAGAATCCACCCCGTATATCATTGTAGTCATTCAACTTGTTAATCCAGAGTTCATTTATTGTTTTGAAATGTTTATCCAGAAACATTCTAGAAAAGCACCTTACAAATCACATTTTGTAATGCATGCCGGTGTTCCCATGGCGTTTTCTGGAACGTGGCTGAACCTGGAGCTGGGAGTTTGCTCCTTTACATTGTGAGCAGGTCAGGGGAGCTCTGGGCAGCTGACATGGTTAGACGTGAGGCCCCACTCCAGCCACTGACATAGGCTCTTCTGTTCAGTGAAGCCCTTAACACGCACTTACTGAACAGCTACCCAGCACTTTCCTAGGCCCTAGCTATGGCAAAGCCACAGATCCTGCCTTCGTAGAGTTACATTCTAGCCTAAGATATAGAACATAAACAAGAAAACTAATAAATGAGTGACATGATCTGACTTGTGCTTTAAAAATAACACTCTGTGAGGCGGGCGGATCACTTGAGTCAGGAGTTCGAGACCAGCCTAGCCAACATGATGAAACCTCGTCTCTACTAAAAATACAAAAAAGCCTAGCCAGGCACGGTGGCATGCACCTGTAAACCCAGCTACTCAGGAGGCTGAGGCAGGAGAATGTCTTGAACCCGGGAGACGGAGGTTTCAGTGAGCTGAGATCATGCCACTGTACTCCAGCCTGGGTGACAGAAGGAGACTGTCTTGGGGAAAAAAAAATCACTCTGGATGTTGGGGGCAAAATGGAGCTGTGGTTGGAGGGTAAGGTGGTAAAAACAGCCAATTAGGAGTCCAAGGCAAAGGGCCAGGCAAGAGTAGGCTGATGGCAGGAGAAATGGTGAGAAATGGTCAGATTGGGACGTATTTTGTAGGCAGGGCCAACTGGACCAGTGGATGAGCTCAGCACAGGGGTAAGGAAAAGGAGTCAATGACTCCAAAGTCTGTTGGCCTGAACTGAGTACGTGGCTCCCTTAGGTAGGACTAGGTGAGAGGAAGAATTTTCTGGGGATGGGATGAAAACCAAGAGTTGCAACTTAGCCATGTTGGGTTGAGCGTTTATTAGACATTCAATAAGAAGATCTATATATTTCTAGTGATCAGTGACCACTTTGCTAAACCTGGCCTGGGTGTGTGGGAGTAGAGAGGATAGTTCCAGAGGAACAGGCTGCCAACCCCACAGCCTATGACCAGGGCAACCCTGGACTCCCTTGGAAGACCCCTGCCCATGGCAACTTGCTCTAGTTTTACAAATTCATTCATTCAGTTGCCACATTCAACACACATATTTTCAATGTGCCTGCAAAGGCACAAGTTTATGGTATAATCTAAATGGATGGACAACATATTCTTTTCTGTTGCCCTATTTAGTACCCCAACTTTTGAAGAAACACAAAAGCCAGCTGAGTGAATGGATCTGTTTATAAAATAGTTAGTAAGGCCCATGAGGCCTGGCTCCTATTCCTTGGCTGCTGGGAGGACACGTGAACACAGAGCCCTTTTATTCTGTGCCTGTGTCCCTCAGGCCACTCTTTCCTGGCCACCATCTCCTCACTGCTGTCCATTCTTCATTCTCCAAGTGTTTCCATGCCTCTGATCACAGCCCTGCTCAGGACCTTCAGGCACACCCCAGCCTCCTCTGCAGGCCCTGCACTGCCTGTCCTCAGCCCTGTTTCCAGTCCTTCCTCTCAGCCTGCCCCTGCACTGGCTCCACCCCATCCTGTCCACATCACTCAGGATCCTGAAACACAGCCGGGGTGTTTCTTTGCCTTCCCCACATCATTCACACCATGGCTTCTGCTCACTGGTTGCCACAGAAGACCTAGCCCAGCAGCTGCCACCCTCAGAGGACTTCCTTCCCTGACCCCTGCCTGTCCCCACACCCAGCACAATGACTGCCATGCTGCTCAGTGCTCCTGAGGTGCTGGTCCTTCAAGGAATCACAGGTCCACCCAGGAAGTACTGCTGCCTTGTGCCTGGGAGGCTGGACTTCGCCTCAGTCACAAGGCGCAGACAAGGCAGGTGGCCTGTGTTCTCACTGCCCAGCTGGCTCTGTGTGCAGTTAGGAGCCAACTCACTGTGCGCTCCTAGAGGCTGAGACAGGGTCGACAGTCTAAAGCTGTGCTTTTCACCAGGTCCAGGGTGGGGTTACTGCAAAGGCCTTTCCTGGAACTTGCTAGAGATGGAGACTTTCAGAGCCCACCTAGGGCCCACTGAATCAGCACCTGCATTTTCACAAGGGTCCCTGGGGATGCACGTAAACAGCCGAGGATGAGAAGGGCTGGTAAGAGAAGGGCTAGTCACCTCCCGGGAGGACTTAATAAAGGACAGCAAAGTGAATCCAACAGTGGCCAACCATTCCATGCCAAGTAAGAGATTAGGAATTTGAAAAGGTGTATTGTGCCAGTCAGGCTCTCGGTTACAGGAAACAGAAACCACCCTGGCTATTACAGGCTGAAAAGGATTTGTTGCTGGACCATTAGGTGTTTACATATCCTTGGAGGGGCCCAGAGTGTCCCTGCAGATGCCCTAGGTTGCTGCTGCCTTGGTCCCCATCAGGGAGGCAGGGCTTCTGGAGGGATTGTGGGGGTGGGTGACCTTCAGCTCCTTGACCCCAATGGAGAGGCTGTCATGGCCACTGTCACAGCCACCCCTCAACAGCCACAAAGCTGCTGTGGAAAAATCCACCATCTCCCCAACCAAAGGGTGGGGAGCAAGCAAATGCTTTCCTAAAAAGTAAAAAAACCCAAAACAACCAAGGGCAGGGGGTGGGGGTGGGGCATGAGGATGGTCTCTGCTGCTCTTCTTCCAATTCTTGTGCAGGCACAACTAGTGAGAGATCATATACAGTCACAGCTGCTCTCCCCTGCTTGGAAGTCAAGCGATGGGTGGCTGGCTGGCTTGTAGAGTGTGGAACCTATCACAAGCACAGGGTGGTGTCTCCTGCTTTGGCTGGAGGTGTGCTGAGCTGCAGAAAACCTGTGAGCCTACGCCATGCCACCTCTAAAGTAGACTTTAATGAGAGAGTTCTTGGGAGCATAGCATTGATGGTGCCTCATGTGACTTGGCTAGGGCATAACCATGCAGGTCGAAAATGGAGCTTGCTGCTTCCAGGAGAAGCCTAGAAATGGAAGGCTGGAGGAGCAGCCTGTATAGCAGGGCAAAGAGAGAGGGGCAATGGCTGGGTAAGTTACGCTGCTGGAAACTGGTGGCCCCCGAGGCCCCTGCGGCTCAGTGGGCACTGTGAAGGGAGCTGGGCTTGAGCCAACATTGCTGGTACCCCTCTCACTTAATGTGGCTCAGAGATTCCCACAGTAGGAGGCTGGATAGGGTGGGCCACAGGGTGGGAGCTGAGACAGGTGAGGAGCGGCAGCGCAGAGTGCTCCGGCTTGTCAGGGAAGGGGCTGTGTTTGGGTTCTCCAGGGAGTTGACTTGGAGACAGTTCTGTGTTGGAGATTAGGGGAGTACCCCAGGATCAGTGCCTGGAGGAGGAAGCGGGCTCAGGCAGAGGAAGGAGAGCTGTGTTGCAGGCCCCTCGGGGTTCAGTTGGAGCTGAAAGTGTCTGTCAGGGATGTCCCCTATCGGTGAACATGCCCTTGGGAGGGTGTGGCTGGGCTGTCCCTGGTGCTGACAGTATTCCCAGTAGCTGGGCGATAGGCCATTCCATGAGGCGGTCTGGGCAGTACAACTCCATATCCCCCTCAGAAAGGCCTGCAGCAGAGGTCCCTGCAGGCATGGATGGGTGGGGCAAGCCTCCAGAAAGCTCACTGTAGGGCCCATGAAAGAATTCCCCTGGAGTAAAGGAGGTGTGGCCGCCAGGGCTGGCCGAGAGCCCTACATATATTGCCTGCTGAGCAAAACAACCTGACTCTCCCCCAGTTCCATCTTCACGATCCCAGACCTGAAGAGCCTGAAGATGAGGAGGGGAAGCCGTTATGTGGGCTGCGAGGTTGAGGTTTTATCATAGACTTGACTGGACTTTTAGGTCCCTGGAGAAGAGTCGTAACTATCAAATGGGATTTATTCTTGCAATTAAAAGTAACCAGGCCAGGTGTGGTGGCTCACTTGGGCAGATCACTTGAGGTTAGGAGTTCGAGACCAGCCTCTCCAACATGGAAAAACCCCATCTCTACTTAAAAAAAACGTAACCAGAAAGCCGTGGCGTCTATCTGAGATGGAGCTTCAGGAGTCTAGAAAGGAAGATGTGAGGAAGCTGATTGGAGGCAGTGATGGGGGAAAAATAAAGGGTATCCTGTCAGCTCAAGCTCAGCCCACTACTGAGTGTGCACTCCCCTCAGCGAGGGGCTGGGGGTATGGTGGTTAAGTCCTTGGGTGGCAGGGAGCAGAGGAGGTGGGGGATACTGCACTTTTTGCTTGTCGCATCCTAGGAGGCTTTGGAGTCCACGTGTGACCCAGTTTTCTGCCTCTGTCTGAGCAAAGTGAGCTCTGATTAGAGGAGGTGTGAGAGCTCTAAATGACTGCAAAGTTCTTTTCAATCAGACAGAAAATAGGTGAGAAATGCATTTCCGTTAATGCCCCAATTATCCCAATCCCAACAGGACAAAAAATGTGCTTTTGCCTGCTCCCAGGGACAAGACCACCAGGATCTTCTGAGTGTCCTCTCCCAGAGGCAGCCCGGCTGGCACAGCAGAGGGGGCTGGAGAGGGGTCCTTGCAGTGCACCAAGGCTCCCCCGCCCTTTCAGAGAGCCCGGGATCAGGCCCAGGTGAGTCGGCGCCTGAGACGGGGTCCACACAGGCTCTGCTGGTGGCGCCCCTGTACCCGCTCCTGCACTTCGCACCCCTCTTCCACCCGGAAATGACACCTTTGCCTCTGCTGCGGTTTGGATGTCCCCTCCAAAACTCATGTTGAGATTTAATTGCCATTGTGACAGTATTTAGGGGTGGGGCCATTAAGAGGTGATTAGGTCATAGAGTGGATTGTTAGAAAATCCAATTTGGCCTTTGGATTCTTTTTCTTGTGCCCTCTCTCTCTGTCTCTCTCACACATACATGCCCTTTCTCTCTCATACACACACACTCTCTCTGTCTCTCTTACATCCCCTTTCTTGCCCTTCTGCTTTCCTCCATGGGATGACACAGCACAAAGGCCCTTATCAGATTTGGTCCCTCAACCTTGAATTTACAGCCTTTAGAACTGTGAGAAATAAGTTATCCAGTCTGTGGTATTCCATCTGAGACAGCCTCCTAAACTTCCCTAGAATCCACTCTGCCTGGAATCCTGCCTGCGGCTGTTTTCTGCCAGACTCATCTCTCACCTGGATTCCAGCCATGACCTCCTGTGGGCCTCCGTGCCTCCAGGTGCCTTTAGTTCCTCCATCCAGTGCCCCAGACTCCAGCCTGCTCTTTCTAAAACACATCTCTGACCATGGCAGGGCCCTGTTAAAACCTTTCAGGGGCTCCCGCTGCTGACAGCCAGCAGAGGACTCTCCTGGTGCCCCAGTAGTGTGGGGCCCTTCTGATATTACCAGGCCACCAGATGCCAGCCTGTCCCTCCTTCCCTGTTATTCCATCTGTAGTCCACCCCAGCTTTGCCCATTTTTCTCTTCTGTATTCACCCCCCCCAACTTCTCTCCATCCCCACTGACTTCTCCAGCATTCTTTCCTGCCCTCTCTACTAGATTCCTGTGGCTGCTGTGACAAATGACCAAACACTGGGTGCCTAAAACCACAGACACATGTTCTGACACAGTTCTGGAGGCCAGAAGTCCCAAATCAGCATCACTGGGTCAAAATCAAGGTGGCAGCAGGGCTACGCTTCCTTTAGAGGCTTTAGGAAGGAAACCATCTCCACAGGGTTGACAAGAATTGCATGCCCAATTCTGGACAGAAATAGAGTTAGAATGAAGCATCGATCAGGCACTTTGGCTCTGTTCCTTGTTGCTACAAGTCACGTGCACTGGTTACTGATCATTTGCACCCCCATCGTTCCTACAGATAGGATTTCTTACATTAGGATCCTGAGACTATTTAAGAATTGATTTGCATCCACTTTGTTCCTGTAGACGGGATCTCTGACATTAGAATCACAGAGCTTTTGTGTATGGATGGCTTAAGATATTTTCCAGGCCCCGCATTCCAGGAACCAGTTTGAAGACCCCAGAATGGGATTGGCATGAGAGTATAGTTGTTTCATCTCCTTGTCCCGTGACTTCACCCTGCACTCTTCCACCCACCAATCGATGCTCTCCACACTTCGGCCCACTCAAAAACTCTTAAACCTAGCCCCAAACTCCTTGGGGAGATGGATTTAAGGTTTCCTCCATCTCCTCATTCAGTGACCCTAAGATCAAACTCCTTTCTGTACAGCAAACTGGTGTCTCGGCATATTGACTTGCTGTGCACATCGGGCAATAAACCTGTCACAGTTTCAGAAACAATCTGCTGTTGCTTCTTCCAGCTTCTGGTGGGTGTTGGCATTTCTTGGCCTGTGGCTGAATTTCTCCAGCCTCTGCCTCTGTGGTCACATGGCCTTTCCTCTTCTGTCTGTGCAGTCAAATCTTCTGGCTCTGTTTTATAAGGATATCTCTGACTGCATTTAGGACCCACCAGATAATCCAGAGAATCTCCCCATTTCAAGATCCCTAATTTGTTTCTTTTTTTTTTTTTTTTAAGAGTTGGGGGTCTTGCTATGTTGCCCAGGCTGGACTCGAACTTCTGAACTCAAGTGATTCTCTTGCCTTGGCCTCCTGAGCAGTTGGGACTACAGGCATGCATCACTGGGCCTGGATTTCAAGATCTTTAAGGCTGGGCATGGTGGCTAGTGCCAGTAAATCTCAGTACTTTGGGAGGTGGAGGCAGGAGGATTGCTTACACTCTGCCCTTTGTTCTTGCCATCTTCTTTGCTGGACACTGCCCCTATCACCCTTCGTCACCCATAGTTGCCTCCTAACTCTTATTCTGATTTTGAGCTTGTGCCTCCTCCTCTAGGAAGTATTCCTTGATTCATCTTCTCATCACCAGCAACACACACACACACACACACACACACGTGCACGCGCTCACTCACAGGTGCCCCCATCCTGTGGTAGCACCCTGTCGTGTCATAATGGACTTTTTCTGAATTTGTCTCCCCAGCTAGCCTCCCAGGCTGCTCAGGCCAGTTACCAGGGCCTACCTCTTCAATCTGAGTATTGATGGATGCTTGAGGATGGAGAGAGGGAAGAAAGACTCAGAGGGATGGGCTTTCCAATTATTTGGCGTTTTCATTTCATTTTTGGCTACAATTTTTTAAAAAAACAATCTGGCTTCATCTACAGTTAGATGAATTTAAGGAAGTAGGAAGATGGGTGATTGGCTCCCACAGAACATTTTCTGATTAAAATTACAGGAAAAATATTTGAGAATAATTAATAATCATAACAGCAGCAACAAGATGGACGAGCATCTGGATTCACCACGGTGCTCCCTGCCAGGGCCCCACAGAACCAGCCAAGGCCCTGCAAGGATGGAAGCTGCCATCTTAGCAGAGTGAAGATTGGGAGGGCAGGGCAGGGAAGTCAGGGCCAGCCGGGATGCCACTTGCTGTGCCTGAGCAGAGAACACAGTTGTTTTACAAATCCCCCTGCCAGTCCTGTGGAGGTGGGAGTAGCTGAGGCTCAGAGAGATGCAGCCATCCCTCCAAGGTCACACAGTAGAGCTGAGATTCAAACCCTGGTCTGTGTGACTCCAAAGTCTAGCTCTTTTCAGCCCAGCAAGCTAGAAGGAATGGGCAACTGGGCAGGGTGGGCAGCTGGGGGGCATAGGCAGGGAGCAGGCCTGGCCTAGAGTCTAGGGGAGAACTAACTGGATTTTCAGGGCATTGAATCTGGCTTGTGTAGCATCCCTGAGGCTCTCCCTCAGAGCAGCTTAGTCCGGATCCAGGCTTTCTTCCTAGCCACGAAGGAGCTGTAGGCTCCTCAGATGCCGGAGCTCTGTCCCACTCAACATCCTCATGGTCCTGAGGGAGAAACAGGTCTGAGGTTGGGGAGGGAGTGTGGCCTGACAGCCTGCATGCTGAGTCTGGGCTCAAGCTGGGTCTAGAGAACAGGTGTCCCCCAAGCCAGCCGCCCCCCCCCACCCCGTCCCGTGACACCATGCCGCCCCTCAGTTGACATTTCTTTTTAGTTCAAGAGGATTACGCAAATCCTAGGCGGTTAAGCTGCCACAGGGCACTATGGAAACAGATCGCCCTGCTCTCTCTGCCTCCTCCGCCCAGCCAAGCGATAATGACACTGAGGCTGACTCCTCTGGCGAGGCTTGTTATGCTAATTCGGGAGCACGTGCACAGTTTGATTTGAACCTGGGTGGGCAGTGGGGAGAAGCCAGATTAGTTACGAGAACAAATTTCAGAACCAAGTCAAATGTCTTCCCCCAAATACTGGACCAACAATAGAGACAGGGAGTGGTACAGGGTCCATGGGTATCAAAATATAAACTAACAAAATGTTACATGCACATTTCAGCAGATAACTTACGTAATGCCTGACTGTAGCGTCTATACATTTTGGAAAAATCAGTTATTTATTTTTATTTTAACGGGCTCATTAATCTGAATAAGTAACAACATCAATAGAGAATGGGATCTGCCTTCCACCTGCCACTCTGTCACCCAGTGTCCCTCCTTGGAGCTGAGCACACTGCCAGTTTGGGGTGTATCTTTCCAGATGCTCAGTGCATACACAAACATGTATGTACACATCTTTTCTCCTTTTCTACAAAAATTAGCAACTATACTACGCACAATGTTCTGCCCCCACTCATTTATTTTTCACTTAGCAAGCGTGTTGGCTTGTTTCAGGGCTAACATTCCACTATATAGATGTACTGTATTATAACTTAACTAACCCTCTATTGGCGGACATTTAGGTTCCAGTCTTTTACAGTACCTCCAAAAATATCTTTGCATACTTGGTACGCATGGGAAACAGTATTCATAGCTGTGGTCCCAGCTATTTCCAAGTAAATTAATTCAAATTAAATAGAATTGGAAACGCAGTTCCTGGTCACTTTTTAAAAGCCATGTGGGGCTAGTGGCTACCATTCTGGCAGGGAAGCTGTGGGCATTCTGTTGTTTAAGGAGTTCTAGTGGACAGCGATGCTGTCTCTATGTGATGCAGTCCTAGAGGGGAATAATGAAGCCACAGGTCTTTGCATCTTGTGTTGACAGATATTGCCAGATTTCCCTCTGAAGAGGCTCTAGGTATTTACTTTCTCCCCCAGTAAGAGCTGAGAGAGAGAGAGAAAGAAAGAGAGCGAGCGAGCGAGAGTGAACGCACTTTTATTTCAGAACAATCGGAAGAGAATGTTGGAAAGAACACAAAACGTTCCCTGTGTACTGATTGCAAGGACATGTTGTTTCCATCATCAGTACCCACATTGCTCACATCAGATACCGCCGTTCCCAGTTTACAATGGGCATGCCTGTCCCTGGGGTCCCACGCTGCTGACTCCCCCAGAGGCCTCCCTGCCACTAAGGTCTGCTTCTCCATAGCTCTAAGCCTCTCCTCATCTCCCCTGTACACCCTGACTCTTGGCCCATCATGGTGCAGGGGAAGTGCTGATCCCATTTGTTCAGCATCACCACAAGACAGCCTTTACTAGAAAACTCAGCACCCTTGGCCCAGACCTCTGTTTCTTCACCTCCCACTGTCTCTGACCCTCTCTCCCTGTGGTGAATCACGACCTCCATGTGGCTAAACCTCAGGGGCACCTCATCTTGCAGAGCTCTTTTCGGGCTTCTGGACAGCCTGCACTCCGACTGAGCCTTCTGTCCCACCTCCTTCACAGTCTCTCCTCCTTGCGTTTACAGTCTTGGCTGTCTTCTTTTCCTTAATCTGTACGATTTTCCTGGGCTGTCTCATCCCGTCATGGCGTTGATTGGCATCTCTGCATTTGGGGAATGATGCGAAGGCATTTAGCCTCTATGTCCTTGATTACTGGTAAGATGAAACATCACGTCAGTTTTTGAGCTTTTGAATTTCTTCCATTATACAGCCAGCTGGAAGCAGAGTAGATGTTGGGTGTTAAGAGATTCCAGTCCAGTTCCTGGCTCCTGTGGGGCTCTGGCCCATGCTGCCGATCTTCCACGCTCTGAGCATCTCTGTCCACGGCTGCTGCATTTTCATCACCCCTCCGTTCCCACCACGGTCCCTACACCTTCAGTGTACTGAGGGGAGACAGCCTCTCGTCACCAACGCTTCCCCAGCACTGTGCCCGCCCCCGCTACCTCCCACCCAGTGGACAGGGATGGGTGTCAGCATGCTGCCACCTCCTCAGCCCCTCTGGGGATATTGTTCCACCACCCCCACTCAGCCCTTCTCTTTCAAAGTGCATGCAATCTAGTACTTCCCCCTTCCTGAACTCCTGGTCTGCTTCCCACCCTCTGGGCCACTGCGCTTTGTTTAGGGACTTCGAACCTCGCGGACTTCTTCTCTGTCCCTTTCTCTGACATCCACTTCCAGGCTTCTGGCATCTAGATAAGTTTCTTTGTCCACGTAATTACTTGACTTAAACCTCAGTGACTTGTATTTTGACTCTGTGTTAGACACCCATGTGCCTCACTTCCTCTCCTGTGAATGAGCTCTCTCTTGAATCTCTAACTCTGAAGTTCCTGTTGACCCCAGCTGTCTACACCCACCTCCCTTTGTCCAGCCCATCTGTGGAGCCTGCTCTTTATCCTTGGTGTGACTGCAAGTTTTATGATCCCTTCCATTCCCTCTAATCCTCTGGTAAGCTGTTCTCTCCAGCCAGTCTCCCTGTCCAGTCTGAACCCCATGACCCACCATGCAAACTCAGCTGGAACTGGGAACCTTACGACCTCTCTCACTCCTCGGCATTGCATGTTGTTTTGAGCTCCTGAGGACGCTCATTCTCCCACGTGTTCCTCTCGCATGCCTTCTCCTCCCCAAAGCCTTCCCTTCCGGCCCTGAAGCTGAGGGGAGGGCTCTTTCACTCGAACGCCAGTACCATTTGTGCCTCTTTTATGGAACTCCATTCTAACTCGGCCACATACCTGTCCTGCCTCCTCAGAGGGTGAGCTCCAGGGTAGTGACAGCTCCAGCCACGTTTCCCCAGTGCCCAGCCGTCATGTTTGTGGACTAGCCTGTGATGGCTTAATTTGGTGAATGGATAATTTCTGCTTTGGCAAGAGACAGCTTCATCCCCTTGGGCTGATAGTACCCAGAGCAATGTGTCTTTCCAGAACAGGAGAAAAGAAGTAGAGAAAAAGAATAAAGCCCAGCAGGAAGGTATACATACATTTTTTAAAGGAACATGTCAGTGCCAGGTTGTGGGCAGATACAGCTGGGAAATGCTTCCTCCCAAGCTGCCAGTGAAATTCTAGCATTCAGGGACTCCAGTGGTAAACAGGCTTATTTTGGCAGTGACCGTACATCTCGGTGTCAGGTGACAGCCTTGGTAGAAAGATGTGAAAACATGGCGTCTATGCTGAAAGGAGAGAAATTGCATTTGTTTTTTTGCTTGCGTAGGAGGATAGGCTTTCCTTATGGAGCCGGTCTTGTGCAGCCAGCTTTAGAAGCAAAACTGCAGATGCACCCATAGAAATAATCTGAGGCCCTGCTGCCAGAAAACAACGACGTGTCACACAAGCTGATGCCAACATCCTGCCTGTGCAAACACCTGGGACGCACATGCTGGGCTTTGCTTCCTTCT